TCCTGCAACCGCTTAAACACTGCGTCGAGGTCGCGGAGGTGCTGCTCGTGTCAGAATATTATGCTCTAGCCTGCAGTGGGGTGCTCTATAGCGAGTACAACCCTTCTAGGGTTAGCTATTTGTACCACCATTGTTGCTAGTGCAAACCCTCTCCTTTCTTCATTCTTACTTTCTACAGCTAACTTTGACATGCTATCAGAGCAGGTCGACCCTCCTGGGTCGATCCTGTGGGTGGGCCCACCACCTAATGCTTCCGCTGCTTTACTTCCTGCCGGGCGCCTCGGGCGCGCGACGACTTCTTCCTGCCGAATTTTTTCTAGGGTTTCGGCGGTTTTCATCCCGCCGTGCGCTCGGGGCGCGCGGCGGTTTTCTGCACGCCGTGCGCCCCGAGGCGCGCGGCGGTTTCCCACCGTCGAAGTGCCCCCCGTCGCCCGTCGAAGCGCCCTCCCCCCGTCGCCCGTCGAAGCGCCCCCGTCGCCCGTCGGAGCGCCCCCCGTCGCCCGCCAAAACGCCCCCGTCGCCCGTCGAAGCGCCCCTGGGACCCGCGCGCGGCCCGTACGGGCTGCGCCAGGCCCGCGCGCGGCCCGTACGGGCTGCGCCAGGCCCGCGCGCGGCCCGTACGGGCTGCGCCAGGCCAGCGCGCGGCGCGGGCAGCCTGCGCGCGCCTCGTCCGTCCCCCTCTCGCCGTCCCCCGCGCTCCTGCCCCTATCCCACCCGTTTTAGGGTTTGGGGATGTAGAGTGTGGGGGTGGCGGGTGTGGGGGTGCCGGTTGTGTGCCCCGTCCCCTCCTTCTCCTCCTCCTCCGTCTCCCGCTGCTGCAGCTGCCGCTCAGGGGGGTGGTTGTGTGGGGAGCCGAAGGAGTGGTCCTAGGGGGGTGAAGGGGGAGTGGAGCTAGGGGCGCAGCAGGGGGTGTGTGTCGAGGGGTGTGGGACTGTTGGGGGAGGTTGAGCGGAGGTTGCCGTCGTGTCGTACGCAGCGCCTGTACTCCGGGGCACTCATTCCCGGTAGCTCAGAGAGCCGGTTGCGCCGTCGCCTGTGGGTCCGTTGCTCCTGCCGCGCATATTAGCCGCGGAGCCTGTTACTCCTGTACTCCGGGGCACTCATTCCCGGTAGCCACGTTGTCGCACCAGAGCCGTCTGTTGCCCGTGTGTCTGCATCTTCAGTCGTCGCCTCCTATCTACTCTCCTCTCACCAGCCCTCCTCCTCCTCACTTGCCCCCTGTGACTGCCTCTAGCTTTGCTCATAATTGTGAACCTTAAACTATTGCTTCTTGCTTGTGCTCAGAATGTGTGGTGACATCGTGATCCACCCTGAGCTTGTACTACTTTGCTTGCTCTGCTGATTACACCCCACTTTGACTATGGGGGTGTGTCAGAATATTATGCTCTAGCCTGCAGTGGGGTGCTCTATAGCGAGTACAACCCTTCTAGGGTTAGCTATTTGTACCACCATTGTTGCTAGTGCAAACCCTCTCCTTTCTTCATTCTTACTTTCTACAGCTAACTTTGACAGCTCGCGTGTCCTGCTAAAAATCAGAATATCGTCCAAGTAGACGATAACACACTTGTCTAGCAGGTCGCGAAATACCCTGTTCATGGTGCGTTGGAATGTTGATGGCGCATTCGTGAGGCCGAAAGGCATCACAGTGAACTCGTAACTGCCGTAGCGGGTTCGGAAGGCGGTCTTGTGACAGTCGTCAGCGAAGACCCTGATCTGGTGGTAACCGCCGCGTAGGTCAATTTTCGAGAAGTAGCGAGCGCCGCGAAGTTGGTCGAGGAGGTCGTCGGTGCGGCGCACAGCTGCGCACAGCTTCTCGATGTCGTTTCCGTCGGTGTCGGCTGCCAACTCGCGCAAGCATACGGCGAACAGTTGCGCACCCCTGTTGACGTGGCGTGTAATCGTGATGGCTTTGACGCATGTAGACTCGATGCAGTCCGGAGTCCACGCGGGCAGAGTAATCAGCTTCCCGTCCTTGCTGATGCTGCACGATCCCGTCGTCCAATCGATTACCGGGTTGTGCCGTCGCAGCCAATCGCGTCCCAGGAGCACGTCGCATCCGTCCAACGTCGTCGCGAGAAACTTCATGCTGAAGCCGAAATTGTCGCCGCACTCAATCCGCACCGTCCGTGTTTCTTCCAAAATCGCCAGAGGCGTCCCATCCACGAGGCGGGCGTCAATTTCGGGCAGACACCTGTCCAGCTGCAACTTGCATTTTTTTGCTGTCGCCAGATTGAAGAGGCTATGGCTAGCCCCGCCATCGACGGACATTTTTTTTTTTTTTTCTTAACAACCGTGCCAACAACCAGCACAGGGTGATCCACATGTTCACCCCCGTTATTCGTCCGAGTGCGATCGATTGCATGAATCGGAACCACGACTCGGTGGGGATGGTGGGGTTCGGGCGACAGAGCGCAGTCAGTAAGGGGCCCGTCTGTTACTGACTCTTCCCATTTCCCGGCTCCTTCCCGTCGTTCTTCTTTCCCTGCGTCCTGTCGGGGCAGTCTTTATACATGTGGCCCGGCTTCCCGCACTTAAAACACAACCCTGTAAAAGGGCGGTCTGGCGCATGGACTCCGTTAATCGTGGCCCGCTGGGTCTGTCCACGAAATCGGTTTCCCTCCCGAGAACTCGATCTCGCCCACTGCATCAGCGCGTCTGTGCTCTCGGCCAATCGGACGGCTTCGTTGAATGTTGCTGGACGGCTGCGGCGCACCTCGTACTGTATCTCATACTTCAAGCCGCTGATGTATTTATCCAACCGTTCAGCTTCCGCCATGTCGTCCACTTGATCCGCGAGCGCCATAAACGACGCTGTGTAGTCTTGAACAGAAGCCAACTGTGACCAGGTACGCAGCTTCATGCGAGCGTGTTCCGAGGCGGATACATGCTCGAAACGCTCTCGTAAGGCTGCGCCCCACTGCTTCCACGTGCGAATTGTGGCCACACCGAATATCGATGATGCCCTCCCAATAGCAGAGTCCGAAGTCCCGTCTGCCGCATGTGTCACACCTGTCGGGGTCCCCGTGTCCAAGGTTCGTCGCCACCACTCAAGCGCCGGGCCTCGCAGAAGCGATACCGCGTAATTAATACGCGTGGCGTCGTCGTTGACGTTCGCTGCAGTGAAGAACACCTCCACGCCGAACAACCACCCCTTAACAGTAGTGTTCTTGTCGGTAGGGTTGAACGGGGGCGGGCTCGTAGGCTTTATCTTGATTGTTGTCACTGCAACTGTTGTCGCTGCCGCCGCTCGCTGCCTATCTTCTTCTTCGAAGCCGCGTGTGAGCTCCTCCAACGGATTGCCGCTCACCGCTTGACCAGTGCTCTCGCCTTCTTCAGCGGGCGACTCCTGGCGGGCGACTCCTGGCGTAGCTCGTTGTTTTCTTCACGTAGTCTCTCCACCTCTGTCGTTAACGCCTTCATGCCTGCCGACATCTCCGCCACTTGCTGCATCAACGCGTCAAATGCCGCCTGGTCCATGAGTCGCAAGCTACGTCTAACAGGCAAGTGGGTCTCCGTGACTATCCGGCAACAGTGCAAGCGCAAAAGCTATCGGAGTCGGGCAAGTTTAATTTAATAAACTTTGCAACCAACCGCTTTGCAGCCCACCGTACCAGTCACACCCGTGCCTCTAAACTACCCTGGAAAAGCGGGGTGAACTAGGAAAGTAGCTCTGATACCAGGTGTTATGAGTTGTCAAACAGAGTTGCGCGGAATAACGAATAACGAGGCTGTGACTCAATGAACTGACGATACAATGAAAGACATGCGATTATATAGCGAGGCAACCTAACTAGGCGGGAACCTCGGGAACACGAGGTTGAGTGCAGGTTGGGCAAAGGAAAGCCGAAGGCGACGCGAGGTTGCTTCGGCAGCAAGCAAAGCGGCCGAACGTGCACTTCCGAAAGTTGGGGTTGTACGCGGTTGAGTAAACCCCAGTAAGGAAAAAGGGTTTTTCCTTACAAAGCCAAAGAACAAGAACCTGACTGGATGAAGTCCGCAGTGGTTACGCTAAAACAGGATTTGAATTCACTTACATTCATTTAGTCCCCTTCACCTGCACACCTTCCTAGCCTTGTAAGTTGTCTTCCCTCCCAGTCCAGGGTGCTTCTTAATATATATATATATATATATATATATATATATATATATTTCAATTTATACTGGGTTGAGATATATGCTTCCTGTCCTCTTCAAACAGCTGATTGTTATCATACATAAAGCACACTAGGCTTTCCTCTTCAAAGCATCAGCAACAAGCATTCGCACACTCCTGTTGCTGAGTGCTGCATCCCTAGCGCTCTCTTCATCATCAAAGCACCCAGCTGCCAGCAGAATCGCAGTAGGCACTATTCTCTCCATCTTTGCCCCAACCTTTACCATCTCCTCAGCCGTCCTTCCCAAGCTATCCCCATCATTCCCCCCTACCTCTCCCTTCACCCTCCCCTCCCTCGTCTCCCTCCCGTCCATCCCTTCTTCCCTTTCAGCAATAACTATCGCCCTCCTCACACACCTCTCCGCCTCCTCCGCCCCAACCCCGGCCAGCTCCCCCACCACTCTCACCGCTCTCTTAAAGAGCTTCTCGTTACTCACTCTAAGGTCCACCATGCGATTACTGTACACCTTGCCTAAAAGCACATGCGCCCCGCTACTAGCAACGTTAAGTGCCAATTTCACTGCTAGTTGTGCAAAGAGGTCAGTGCGAGGAAGGAGAGGAGCGGCAGAGGGAGCAGGAAGGGAGATGGTGACATGGAGAAAGGTGGGAGTGGGAGAGTGCGAGGAGGGAGAGGAAAAGTACGAGGGTGTAGGAGAGGAGGAGGCGGGGGAGGAGGATAGAGAGGAGACGGATGAGGAAAAAGGGAGGTCTGAGAAGAGAGCAGATGCGGAGCCCATTGGCTTGGGTCGCTGCTTCCTGATTGGTGGAGCACCTGCTACTGCTTCAGCCGCTGCATCAGCACCTGCTTCCTCTTCTGCTTCAGCCTCTGCTGCTGCTGCTACTGCTGCTACTGCTGCTGCTGGTTGTGCTGCTGCATCACCGGGAGGCTTCTGAGTCGACTCAGAAGCTTGTCCTGTGGCACTACTGTGAAGCAGATGCTCTGTTTCGTCCCCCTCCACTGACTCCCACTCACTCCCCTCCTCACTCCCCTCCTCACTCCCCTCCTCGTCCCCCTCCCCATCATCCCCCCCAGATGCACCCTCTCTCTCATCCTCTCTTGATTCCCTCCCCACCAGCACCCCCGAATCACTGCTTCCACCTTCCTCCTCTTCGTCCTCCTCCTCCCTCCCCCTCCCTCTTCGTCCTCCTCCCCTCCTCCTCTTTCCTCCTCCGCTCCCTCCTCCCTTTCCTCCTCTTCGTCCTCCTTCCCTCCCTCCTTCCCTTCCGCCCCTTGCCCTTCTGCCCTGCCCTCCACTTGATCACCACCCCCCTCCTCCTCTCCCTCCTCATCCTCATCCCATCCCTCCTCCCCCTCCTCCTCACTCTCTCCCAGCTCACTCTCTTCCCCTTCACTCTCGTCCTCCCTTTCCTTCCCCTCTTCCATCCCATCCTCATCATCATACACCATTAAGAGACGGTCGTGAGGAGCCACACCGACACTTAGCAAAGCGAGGGACAGAAGCCCCTGCTTGGCTCGTGCGTGGAGGGCGGTGAGGAGCGGGAGAGGGAACTGCTGTTGCTGTAGCACGTGTGACTCTAACAGGAGAACCGTGTCGTTGGCACTGGAAGCAACAAGAGAGGGAGGAAGAGAAAAAGAGAGGAGGAAACAAACGAAAGGCGGGTGAGCGGCCGGGGGAAGAGGGAAATGCTGAAGCCAATCGTGAGGATCCACACCGACACTTAGCAAAGCGAGGGACAGAAGCCCCTCCTTGGCTCGTGCGTGGAGGGCGGTGAGGAGCGGGAGAGGGAACTGCTGTGGCTGTAACACGTGTGACTCTAACAGGACTACTGTGTCGTTGGCACTGGAAGGTTGGGAAACGGTAGGGGTGGTTGGGAGAGGGCAGGGAAGCCAGGGAGGGAGAAACGGGAGGAAATCAACAAAAAATTAGTATAAAAGAAGTGGAGTTGGGACGAAGAGAAGGGGGTCTTGAATGGCTCTGGAGAGGATTGGCGAGAAGGTGAGTGGGTGGGATGGGTTATTAGGCAAACACAACACGAGGCTAGCTCACCATGTGGTGGGGAGGACCTCGTGCAGAAAGTGGTCTGTGCTGATGGCCTTGAGTGGCTCTGGCGTGGGTTGGCGAGAGGGTGAGTGCGATGAGGCTTACTGGACAAACATAGTGCGAGGCTAGCTCACCGTGTGGTGGGGAGGATCTCGTGCAGAAAGTGGTCTGTGCTGATGGCCTTGAGTGGCTCTGGCGTGGGTTGGCGAGAGGGTGAGCGGGACGCAGTAGCAGCAGCTTCAGCAACAGCAGAAGTAGTAGCTCTAAAGGGAAAGAACCACGATCTTCCGCTGCTGCTCCTGCTTGTGCTTGCTTCGCTGCCCCTGCTGCTCCTCTTTCCTGCTGCTGCATCTGCTGTTCGTGTCCGTCTGCTGCTGCTTTTCTCACTTTGACCTTTCCTAGCACCTGCCCTGCTTCTCCTGCTGCCACCGCTGCTACTCCTGCTGTTTCTGCCACCGCCTCGGCTAGAGCTGTTGCCATTACTACTGCCAACACCACCACTGCTGCTACTAGTGCTGGTACTGATGCTCCTGCTTTTGCTGCTGATGCTGCTGCTGCTCTTAGGAGAAGATGAACCCAAGGGATCGACTGTGTGCTGATTCAACGGACGAATCAGGCGGTGCCACGTGGAGGTGAGGAAGCCTTGAAAGGAGCCTGGGCGCGCTCCAAAGGTGGGCACCTGCTCTGAGGCGTCTGTGGGGAGAACAAAAGGGTGCATGAAGGGAGATCGGGAGATGCAAAGAAATGCTTAGCCTTGGAAGGAGCCTGGGCGCGCTCCAAAGGTGGGCACCTGCTCTGAGGCGTCTGTGGGGAGAACAAAAGGGTGCATGAAGGGAGATCGGGAGATGCAAAGAAATGTTTAGCCTTGAAAGGAGCCTGGGCGCGCTCCAAAGGTGGGCACCTGCTCTGAGGCGTCTGCGTGGGAGGAGAGGAAAAACGAGAGAAGAGACCAACCAGGCCGAGCGAGTCGTCCCCATTATACATGACCCGACCGCGAGTGGTGCTGAAGCGAGTATGACAGCACATCCCTCTAGATGCTAAAAGACACGCTGTTGATAAATCTCTCTTTCTCACCTATAAGCCCCACGAGGCCGAGCGAGTCATCCCCAACCCAATGTACATGACCCGCCAACCAGTGCTGCTGAAGCGAGTATGACAGAACATCCCTCTAGATGCTAAAAGACACGCTGTTGATAAATCACTCTTTCTCACCTATGAGGCCCACCAGGCCTAGAGAGTCATCCCCAATGTACATGACCCGGCCGCCAGTGCTAATGGAGCGATGGAAGAGACGAGTGAGGGCCTGACATGGGGGGGTGGTGGGGGGAATGGGTGGGGGGAATGGGTGGGGGGAATGGGGGGGGGGGGGGAATGGGTGGGGGGAATGGGTGAAGACAAAGGGGGTACCAGCCCCACCCGGCCCACCAGGCCAAGTGAGTGGTCCCCAATGTACATGACCCGACCGCCAGTGCTGATGGAGCGATGGAAGAGAGAGATGGGTGAAGGCCTGGTTGGGAGGGAAGGGGGGATGGGATGGGTGGGGGAGAGGGAGGAGGGGGGGATAGTTGGGAGTACCAGGCGCACCAGCACCACACTGAACCCACCAGGCCGAGTGAGTCATCCCCAATGTACATGACCCGACCGCAAGTGCTGATGGAGCGATGGAAGAGACTGGTGAGGGCCTGGTTGGGAGGGGGAGAGAGGGAGTGTGGGAATGGGTGGGAAAAAGGGGGGTACCAAACCCACCAGGCCGAGTGAGTCATCCCCAATGTACATGACCCGACCGCAAGTGCTGATGGAGCGATGGAAGAGACTGGTGAGGGCCTGGTTGGGAGGGGGAGAGAGGGAGTATGGGAATGGGTGGGAAAAAGGGGGGTACCAAACCCACCAAGCCGACCGAGTCATCTCCACTGTACATGACCTGCCCACCAGAACCAGTGAGTCGTCTCTAATGTACATGACCCGCCCACCAGTGCTGATGGAACGATGGAAGAGACGAGTGAGGGCCTGATGTGAGGGGGAGAGGGGAAAAATTAGTGAGGGGAATGGGTGCAGAAAATAGGGGCAAATACCTGCCCCACCCGGCCCACCAGAACCAGTGAGTCGTCTCCAATGTACATGACCCTGCTGTCCGTGCTGATGGAGTGATGGAAGAGACGAGTGAGGGCCTGTTTGGGAGGGGGAGGTGAGGGGAATGGGTGAAGAAAATAGGGGTACCAGCCCCACCAGGCCCAGTGAGTCTTAGAGGCAGCATAATTTTTTACGAGGCTAAAAAAACAGTCATAAAGTTATTAGTAACTCACCACGATTCCGGGTAATTGTTGATAAACTCCCCTCATCGCCCCCTCGTAAGCCGCCATCACATCGCCGTACCGAGCCGCGGGGGAGAAAATAGTTATACCCACCATAACGCTGGGTAGTGAACTTTATACACACCCCTTACAGCCCCTCATAAGCCACAATCAAATCCCGGCACTGAGCGTAAAGGGCAGCTCCATTCTTTGGTAACAGTCTAGTGTTACTAATCACTCACCACAATGCCGGGTAACTGCTGGTAGACTCCCCTCATCGCCCCTTCGTAAGCCGCCATCACATCGTCGTACCGAGCCGCCGGGGCAGCCTCGGTTCGGCCCCAGGCTACCCGAGCCGCCCGCCGAACCGCCGTGGTGTCTTGGGGAGTGAGCTCCGGGGGAGGGTTGATGAGTAGCAGGGGCACTCCCGCGTCTGATGTGGAGGATGGAGGGGAGGAAGAGAGGTGACGAGGAGTGAGCTTGAGGAGTGCATGGTATCTTCAGCCAGACATCGTCCCTGCCACACCGGCAGTGAGCTCGGTGGCATCGAATGTTGAAGGATCACATTTGAGAAAGGGAATTGAAGGATCACTCAAAAGCAGCCCACAGACTCTACTCACACATGTCCTCACACGCGCTCATCTGACTGCCAACAGCCACACGGACAGACAGACACTCACAGCTTCCGAGAGCAGGCAGGCGCAGCAGTCTCGCAATCACGCTCACCTGAGGTCAGCTTACACACACACCCACTTGCTTACACACTCATCTGACTGCCAACAGCCACACTGCCACTCACATCACAGCTTCCTAAAGCAGGCAGGCGCAGCACTCTGGCAATGGCCCGACAGAAGATGGTCCCTAGAAGGACTTTTGTGGCAGTGCCGCCCTTGAGCCTCGTAGACCCTCGTACACACTCCCATTCACACACAGTGACTGACTGACCCTTCAGACTCACAGCTTCCTAGAGCAGGCAACCGCAGCACTCCGGCGATGGCCCGGCTGAAAATGGTTTCCAGAAGAACCTTGGTGGCAGTGCCACTACAGCTCAGAACACAGCCCCACACCCACTGACACCGACTCACAGCTTCCTAGAGCAGGCAGGCGCAGCACTCTGGCGATGGCTCGGCTGAAGATGGTTTCCAGGAGGACCTTGGTGGCACTGCCTGCTGCTAAACCTTGATCCTCCTATACCCTCTTACACACACGCCCCCACACCGACTCACAGTTTCCAAGGGCAGGCAGGCGCAGCACTGATTTGAGTTTTGAGGCGCCTCAAAACTCAATTCATACCAGCTCCCTGCACTCACAGCTTCCCAGGGCAGGCAGGCGCAGCACCCTGTCAATGGCCCGATTGAAGATGGTCTCCAAAAGGACCTTGGTGGCAGTGCCGGCACAGCAACATAGCCCCTCCTCACATACATCCTCACACTGACTTGTTCTTGACACTCACAGCTTCCCAGGGCAGGCAGGCGCAGCACTCTGGCAATGGCCCGGCTGAAGATGGTTTCCAGGAGGACCTTGGCGGCAGTGCCACAGACAGCCCTACAGCCTCTACTCACACACCCCCCACACACTCAACTCAAGCAACTGCCAATACTCACAGCTTCCTAGAGCAGGCAGGCGCAGCACTCGGGCAATGGCCCGGCTGAAGATGGTTTCCAGGAGGACCTTGGTGGCAGTGCCGCCCTTGAGCCTCGTGGACCCTGTGATGGTCTCCTGTGGTGGTTGGGCGAACGGGGGGAGTGGGGAGGGGATGGATGACAGCGACAAGTGTGGAGCGTGAGACACTCAGCAGCACTCTGGCGATGGCCCGGCTCAAGATGGTTTCCACAAGGACCTTGGTGGCAGTGCCGCCCTTGAGCCGAGTGGACCCTGTGATGGTCTCCTGCCAGGTGATGGTGGCATGGTTGGGAGGCAGGGCAGGGTACGGAAGAGTAGAGTGCGTTCAGTTCAGCTGAAGCACCTTGGTGGCAGTGCCGCCCTTGAGCCTTGTGGACCCTGTGATAGTCTCCTGATGTGTGGCAAGGCAAATTGGAGGCATAGTGGCATGGTGGTATGGGTGGGTGTAAGGGAGTGAGGGTGAGTTAGAAGGACCTTTGTGGCAGTGCTGCCCTTGAGAGCCTTGTGTTCCTGTGATAGACTGACTCCTGTTGCGTGAGAGGGTGGCATGGTGGCATGGCAGTAAGGGGGTAGGGTTGAGTTAGAAGGACCTTGGTGGCAGTGCCGCCCTTGAGTCTTGTAGACCCTGTGATAGTCTCCTCCTGTGGTTGGTTGGGTGGCATGGCAGCATGGTGAGGTGGTGGCATGGTGGCATGGTGAGGTGGTGGGAAGACAGGGTATGGTAGAGTTGTTCCGTTGACAGGGGTAGGGTTGAGTTAGAAGGATTAGAAGGATTAGAAGGGTTGAGTCCCGGCTCGGTACGACAATGTCACGACGGCTTACAAGCTCCGGCCTTTCCCACACCCTTCCCCACCCCTACCACCCCCCCTACCCCTCACCCCTACCTACCGGGCCGACAGCAGGCGAGAGGATAAAGTGCCTTGGCACATCCCCCTCTGCTTCAGCAGCATCGATGCGAGCCCTTAGCTCTTGAAGGACGGAGGGGAAGGTCACGCGTGGAGCACCCTGGTTGGGGAATGAAAGGGCGGGGGATAGGAGGAAGGAGTGGGGAAGACAATAAGAGGCGGTGCATGCTTCAGCAGGATCGATGCGAGCCCTTAGCTCTTGAAGGACAGACGGGAAGGTCACGCGTGGAGCACCCTGGTTGGGGAGTGAGTGAGTGTGTCCAACAGAGGGAGGGAGGGAGGGAGATGAGATGGGCAGAAAGGGAGGTCTCTGCTCCAGCAGCATCAATGCGAGCCCTTAGCTCTTCAAGGACGGAGGGGAAGGTCACGCCTGGAGCACCCTGGTTGGGGAGTCAGTGGAGAGTGCGTGACAGAGAGAGGGAGGGAGATGAGATGGGCGGAAAGGGAGGTGTCGGCTGCAGCAGCATCCATGCGAGTCCTTGACTCTTGAAGGACGGAGGGGAAGGTGACGCCTGGAGCACCCTGGTTGGGGAATGGAAGGGAGACGGAAGATGGGAGGAGCAGGGAAGAGGGAATTATGGGAGGAGAGCGTGGTGGTGTCTGCTTCAGCAGCATCAATGCGAGCCCTTAGCTCTTGAAGGACGGAGGGGAAGGTGACGCCTGGAGCACCCTGGTTGAGGAGGGAGTGAGGGTGTGTGACAGAGGGAGAGGGGGAGATGAGATGGGCGGAAAGGGAGGTGTCTGCTGCAGCAGCATCAATGCGAAATCACCCGGAGGCGGAATCACTTTGGAGAAATCTCAAAGGAAAATTCAACATAAGCTTGTGGCTCATTCAGGACAGAGGGGAAGGTTACACCTGGAGCACTCTAGTTGTGAAATGGGGAGTGAATCTTGATACGGAGGGAGGAGATGAGATGGGCGGAAAGGGAGGTGTCTGCTGCAGCAGCATCAATGCGAAATCACCCGGAGGCGGAATCACTTTGGAGAAATCTCAAAGGAAAATTCAACATAAGCTTGTGGCTCATTCAGGACAGAGGGGAAGGTTACACCTGGAGCACTCTAGTTGTGAAATGGGGAGTGAATCTTGATACGGAGGGAGGGAGGCGTGAGAGAGGAAAGGAAAATATCTGCTTCAGCTGCAGCAACAGCAGTTCTGATTGGGCGGAAAAGAAGGTCATGCCTCACACTCTCACACCCCAAATACCCCCACCTGGCTGGGCATGATCTCACCTTGGTGTTTGGCCAAGGATGGTGGATTGAAGCCCATGACAACGACTTTAGAGTCGAGTCGAAACTCACCTCCAATACCTACCCCCCACCTGTCATCCTCTCACACACCTCGGACTCGCAATCTCACCCACCCCCCACCTGTCGTGATCTCACCTTGGTGTTTGGCGCCAGAGAGGGCGGGTTGAAGCCCATGACAGCGACAGCATAGTGTGACTGGGAGAGGGCGTACTGGAGGGATGGGAAGGGGGCAAGAGATGGAAGCAAGTGGTTAAAACTTGAAGGGATGAGGATTGAAGGATGAGACTTGAAGCCCATGACAGCAACGGCGTAGTGCAACGGGGAGAGGGCGTACTGGCGGGATGAGAGGGGAAGCGGTTGGGAAAGAGCAGGGAGGAATGGAGTGTTTATGATGTATGCTGTGTGCTGTGTGTGTGCATATGTGCAGGGATTGAAGCCCATGACAGCAACGGCGTAGTGTGACTGAGAGAGGGCGTACAGGGGGGATGGCAGGGGGGACGTATATAGTGCGCATGCTGTGCTGTTTGTGCAGGTGCGGGGAGCAAATCGCATGATTGCACGCACCAGCATGACCCTTATTTGGCTGCATGACTCGCCTTGACTTGTTTGACTGACTTGTTTGACTCATCTTGACTTGTGTGGCCCACGCTTGCCCAACCCCAGGCAGAACCTATTTCTGACTTGGTTGACTCGCCTTCACTTGTTTCACACCCATCCATGACTGTGTGACCCACGCTTGCCCAAGGCAGAATCCATTTCTGACTTGCTTGACTCACTTAAAATTTTTGCCCATGTTTGACTTGCATGACATGACCCGTGCTTGCCCCAGGTATAACCCATTGGAAATTGTTTGACTCACTTTGACTTGTGCTGCCACATAAGGAGCGCTGAGGCCACAGCTGATGCCGATCTGAGGCAAGAGAGGAAAGGGTAGGGCGGAGGCAGTGGGAAGGAAGGACGTATATTATCATCATCAGCGCGCTTCAAAAGCATGCTGCCATGTAAGGAGCGCTGAGGCCACAGCTGATGCCGATCTGAGGCAAGAGAGGAAAGGGTAGGGCGGAGGCAGTGGGAAGGAAGGACGTATATTATCATCATCAGCGCGCTTCAAAAGCATGCTGCCATGTAAGGAGCGCTGAGGCCACAGCTGATGCCGATCTGAGGCAAGAGAGGAAAGGGTAGGGCGGAGACAGTGGGAAGGAAGGACGTATATTATCATCATCAGCGCGCTTCAAAAGCATGCTGCCATGTAAGGAGCGCTGAGGCCACAGCTGATGCCGATCTGAGGCAAGGGAGATATGGAGAGGTGGGTGGTGGAAGGGGGGGAGAGGAAGTAGGAGATGCTGTGCAGTGCAGTGCGGTTTTAAAGCGTGCTCCTACACAAGGTGCGCTGAGGCCGCACCTTTTGCAAGACAGAGAGGAAAGGAGCAGGGACGGGGATGGGAAAGGGACTATATTATCATCACTGCACTTCAAGCCTTCAGGTGCATGGCGCCACGTAGCCGTGTTTTGAGTCGACTCAAAACACAAACTGAGGCAAGACAGAGAGGAAAGGAGCAGGGACGGGGAAGGGAAAGGAACTATATTATCATCACTGCACTTTAAGTTGCGTCCAGTTAAGTCCATAAGCGTCCCGATGAGTTCACACACGTCAAGTTGCATTCAAACGCGTCCAGACGCGTCCAGACGCTTTCAGTTTCGTCCAGACCATTCCAGAATGCACGGGGAAAGCAAGTCGGAGGGATGCATATAGAGCGCTCTCCCACACGGCTTCCCCAAACCACGGGCCCTTTCAATTCAATAAAAAGCCTACAGTAATGAAGTAGGTGGATAGACTTTTAGACGTCTGAAAAGTCAAACCACAGGCTCTTTCAATTCAATGAAGTGCACACAGTAATGAAATAAGTGTATCAATGACGCAGGCACGGCACGGGGCAACATGAAAGAGCAGGGAGCAGGGAGCAGGGAGCAGGAGGCAGGACATACATAGAGCACTCGCCCGCACAGCTTCGCCCACGGGTTCCCTCCACTCGCCTCAACGCCACCCCAAACATATAAAGAGCCAGCAGTAATAAGGGAGGCAAGCCAGCAAGCAGGCAAGGGCAAGCAACGCACATAGAGCACTCGCCCGCACGGCTTCCCCCATGGGTTCCCTCTCGCCTCCACTCGCCTCAGAGCCGCCACTGCTGCCTCCTGATTGTCCTCCGCCCCCTCCTGCGCCTGGCGTGGAGGTGGAAGGAGAAGCAGCAACACGGATTGGAGGGAATCGTAGGAGGAACAGATAGGTTGGAGAGGGAAGTCAAAGCAGGCACCCTGTTTCCCCCACGGGTTGCCTCCACTCGCCTCAGAGCCACCACTGCTGCTTCCTGATTGTCCTCTGCCCCCTCCTGTGGTGTGGTGATGCAGAGAGGAGGTTGGGAGGGTGGGAGGCAGGCGGATAGGAGGTAAGGGGAAGTTAAAGCGGGTGGCCAAGGGGACCACAGTGCCTCCACTCGCCTCAGAGCCGCCTCTGCTGCCTCCTGGTTGTACCCCTGCCCCCTCCTGCGCCTGGTGTGGAGGTGCGGGGAGAGAAGCATGCGAGAGGAGTGTGTGAGGGGAAGCGCTCACTGTGCTTTCCCTCCTCTTTCGCCTCCACTCGCCTCAGAGCTGCCACTGCTGCCTCTTGATTGTCCTCTGCCCCCTCCTGCGCCTGGTGTGGAGGTGGGCGGGTTGGTGACAGAAAAGGGGGCAAACAGATAGAAGGTGAAGGGAAGTTGAAGCAGCAGTGTCTCACTCGCCCCAGAGCCACCACTGCTGCCTCTTGACTGTCCTCCGCCCCCTCCTGCGCCTGGTGTGGAGGTGTAGGTTATAGGGAGAGAAGCATGCAAGAGCAAGGGCCGGTAATCGTCCCCCTGAGATGAGCAAGTGGGCATAGAATTAAGAGTTAGAACGTATTGACTTTTGAGTCGACTCAAAACGAGGTGACTTTTGAGTCGACTCAAAGGTCACCTTGAGATGAGCAAGTGAAAGCACAGCAGGGAATGCAGCAAGAGGTCATAGTATTAAGAGTTAGATCGTATCAATCACCATACCTGCACTGCACACTCCCAAACCACCCCCCCTCCGTGCCCACCTTCCCGCACACCTACCTTGAGCAATGCAGGCAGCCCCCCTGCGATGAGAAAGTGGAAGCAGGGCGGCAGGCCGTATTAAAAGAGAACATGCTACCTCGTCTTCCCTTCCCCCTGTCCTCCCCCCTGCTCCTTCCCCCCTTCACACACGCCTACCTTCAGCAATGCAGGTAGCCCCCCTGCAATGAGGAAGTGGAAGCAGGGCGGCAGACCATATCTCCTGAGCACAGCGTTGAAACAGAGAACCACCTGCAGGAGATTTTTCAGGTGGTTGGTTGACATGACAGGTATGTTTGGTTGTATAGTATAGGTAGCAAGCAACGAGAGAGCAATGACAAGATGAAATAAGTGAGTTCCAGCAAAATAGGTGATTCAAGAGGCAGGCTGCTTTGAAGCACTCCAATAATTGAAATAAAGATGTACTAGAGTTCATCTCTTGAAGGCGGAAATGGATTCATGATGACTTTTGAGTCGACCCTAAAATGATTACATAGCTCACTCTGTGTCGATGGGATGGTCCAGCCGGAAACGAATGGAAGAAAAAAAGAATCCTCATGCCAAAATCATGAATTCTTTTGAGGCGCCTCAAAAGAATCATCATGCCAAAAACCTGAATTCAAAAAGCACCTGACTGGTGAACAAAGAAGCACCTGAAAGGCTATTCTGCCGCTAGTGCCAGCACCTGAAACCACCACTGCACTATCCTGAGGGAAGGGACGGTGGGAACCATGATTGGAAGGAAGGGGAGAGAAGGGAGAGTTGAGGGGTAGCTGTACAGTGAGGGTTGACGGCCCTGTACCGTATACTAGCGCCTGGGGTGTTTTTTGAGTCGACTCAATACACGATTCATGACATGCGTACCGTATACCTTGCGAGTGGTTTTTGAAAATTCTCAAGGTAGACCACTCGCAAGGTATGATAGTTCCTGTGGTGCACTCCTCTACAACTGACCTTTGAATCGACTCAAAAGTCAGCCTGATACCACCACTGCACCATGTTGGAGAGGAGACAGACTTTTGAGACGTCTCAAAAGCACTCCAGACTACAACTGACCTTTGAATCGACTCTCAGAAGTCAGCCTGATACCACCACTGCACCATGTTGGACTCAGGTATGGTGGGGACCACGATTGTTCAGAAGGGGAGAGAAGGGAAGGTTTCAGGATATAGCGCCTTCAGTGCACCACACTCCACCACGACTTTCCTTTGGTGCCAGAAATAGTGTAGGCGCCTCAACAGAAACTATTTTCTGCCTCTCTAAAAAAGCGTCTTGGATGACAGACGGTAGGCATGCAGGCAACTAGACTACTGACCTGATGATCCCTTGTGTTGGTCTGGCACGAATAGGACCGTTCTCAAAGGGGATGAGGAAGCGGAGGGTGTTCAGGGAAGAGTCGATTTTTGAGTCGACTCAAGAAGCGGAGGGTGTTCAGGGAGGAAGAAAGGGCAGCAGGTTGTGGAAAAGAGAAAGAGGAATGGGAAGAGAAAAGAGAAAGGAGGAGGGTGTAAAGGGCAGCAGGTTGTGGAAAAGAGAAAGAGGAAGAGCAGGGGAGGGGGAAGGGGAGAGGGCAGCATGCCTTGGAGAAGAAAAAGAGAGAGTGGAAGAGGACTTAGCCAGTTTTGGTGCCAGTTTTCTTCGGCGTGGAGAGAGCGAGAGAGAGAGAGAGAGGACTTAGCCTCTGCCTCTAGCCTCTGCCTCTGCCCTCTAGCTATATATAGGGCCCTTGGGGTCATTTCTCAGTCATTAGTTCGTTTTGGTGCCAGTTTTCTTCGGCGTGGAGAGAGCGAGAGAGAGAGAGAGAGGACTTAGCCTCTGCCTCTAGCCTCTGCCTCTGCCCTCTAGCTATATATAGGGCCCTTGGGGTCATTTCTCAGTCATTAGTTCGTTTTGGTGCCAGTTTTCTTCGTGCCTAGGGGTGGCAAGGATTAACAGCAACACAAGCAATAAAGCAAACATCACAAGACAGCCATGGGCCGCGCCACTCGCTACTAGATCAAGAAATGCAAAGGGTCTACGTGCGGCGGGTGCCAGAAACTACATCTGATGGGCATCCAGCGCCGCAAGGATACCACGCATGG